TACTGTTACTTACTGAATTCAGAGTTAACTTTTGCTGCCTTTAAGCCGTAAGTTTAAAGAAATGAAAAGTAGAGCCACCTGGAGAGTTTAAATAACATGTGTGTCTAGAACCTGTTCGCTGGAGATTAGAAGTAAAGGTACACATTTCAAATAGGGCCTGAGCAAATCTGTGTTTCAGAAAATTTTCCCAGGTGATTATGAATATTCTCCTGATTGAAACACTGTTTACAATCTGTAGATAAAATGCACTTGGCATTTGCTCATTTACAAACAGAACTTTAAGAAATTACTTCTATATCATGAATAGTAAATATTCTAATTGTAAATATTCTCCTAATGGTCTAATTGCAAATATTCTCCTGTGTGGGAATGACTGCATAGAAATCTAGTTTCTGGAGTCAGAGATGCATATTATCTCACATTACTGAAATGGAGCCGTGACTGGCAATGCATGTATCTATAATGGGATTGTCTTCTCCCAAAAAACTTACTAAAATAACTGTGCATCTCAAAACTGCTGGTGTCTTTGAGTCAAGGAAGTATTTCCTCATGAGTGTACCATGAATTTCTTTTTTGTGTATATTCAGGTTGTTTCTAGTTTTTCATATTCATGCTGGGATACTTGAATTTTTTTTTTTTTTCCTTTGGGATGATTTTCTAAAAGTTAAACTGCTTAGCCAAATATGTATAAATTTAAAGGCTTTTGAAAATACTATATTTCTTAAAGCTTTTTTGGGTAGTGGGCGAGTAGGTATATGCTGGTCTCACTTTTAATATTTTCTTCTTTTTGCTTTGACTTTAGAATAAAGTAATGAATTTAGTTATTTTTCTCAGTCTCTAATGGGTTCTTTGGGAACCACTTTTATTTCATTGATACTTAGTCATGACAAGTTGTCAGGTATGGAAAACTAGCACATAATTCCTTGTACATTTTTTTCTGTTATAGAGACACTTGGTCATAATATAAAAATCTTTATTCTTAAAATTTTGTACTTTGCACAATTAATACCATTTTTAATAGTAAAGGCTGAGCAGTTTGTCACTAAGATCACGAACAAGGACTTATCCTCCCATTCCTTCTATTTAACATTTTATTGAAGATAAGGAGAATAGAATAGTAAGGTAAGAAATGAAATCAGTCATTTAGACTGAAAGAAAGAACAAAAGCTATGTATCTATTCACAGATGGCATGATTCTTGTAAACAGGAAAACTTAAGGAATCTACACAGAGCTATTATAATTAGAAAATGAATTGGCAGGGTTGCAGAATACAAGATAAATATACAGAAATCGTGTATTTCTGTATACTAGGAATAACTATCTTAAAGTGAGATTAAAATAACAATTCAATTTATGATAGTATCAAAAAGAAAAAAATACTTAGAAATAAACTTAGCTAAAGTGTGAAATTACTGAAAATTGCAAAGCATTTTTAAAAATAATCAATGAAGATCTGAACAAATGGAAAGTCATCTCACGTTCAAGACAGTATATTGTTATGATAGCATTTTCCAAAAGCATCTATAGATTTAATAGAAGCCCCATCAAAAATTGCAGCTTTTTTTTTCCCCCCCAGAAGTTGACAAGCTGATTCTAAAAGTTGATATGATAATACTGGGGACCCAGAGTAACCAGTATATCTTATAAAAAATAGATCAAAGTTGAAGTACTCAAACTCCCCCATATTCATGCTGAATTAATCAAGACAGTGTGATAATGATACAAACATAGGTGTACAATCAATGGAATAGAATTGAGAGTCCAAAAGGAATCTTTGTATTTATGATAGATTGACTCTCAAAAAGGCTATCAACACAGTTTGATGGAGAAAGAATAGTCTTTTCAAGAAATGATGTTGGGATAACTGAATATCTACATGCCAAAGAACAAAATTGGACGCCTTCCTAACATTGAACACAAAAAATAAAATGGATCAAAGACATAAATGTAAGAGTTAAAATTATAAGATTCCTAGGAGAAAATAGAGAGGTAAAAATCTTTGTGACCCTCAATACCAAAAACTGAGTTTTGGTCAAAATTTAATTTTTTTTTTTTTTTTTGTATCAGAGGACACAATGAGGAAAGTAAAAAGATAAGCCCTAATGGGAGAAAATATAAGGTCACATTCGTAAATTACATATTTTTCAAGGCATCTGTATTCAGAATAAGTACACAACTCAGCAACTAAATGACAATAACTCTGTTAAAAAGTGGATGAAGGATCCGAATAAACATTTACTCAAAGAATAAATCAAAGTGGCTTGTAAGCACATGGAAAGATGCTCAACAGCACTGTGGTGAGGGAAGTAAAAATTAAAACCACCAGTGGATGGCTGCTGTCAGCAAGGCAGAGGAGCATGTGCCAGTGGTGAGGGGACCCACGTTTTTAGTTGGTGGGGTTTTAAAGTGGGCTAAACTCTTGGCAGAACAGTTCAGCAGTTCTTTAGAATAATGAAGTTACCATGTCACCAGAATAGGTGAGGCATAAGAGGTGACTGCTCCTAAGTATGGGGGTTTCTTTTGTGATGCTAAAAAAATATTCTAAAATTAAATGATGTGGTGGTTGCATAATTCTGTGAAAGTACTAAAAAACAATGAATTGTGTACATTAGAAGGGTTGAGTTTAATGGCATGTTATATGGCAGAAAGCTGTTACTTAGAAGAAGGATGAATTATATGCTAAGAATGTAGGTGGGGGCTGGGATTGTAGCTCCGTGGTAGAGTGCTTGCCTAGCACACGTGAGGTCCTGGGTTCAATCCTCAGGACCACATAAAACTGAAATAAAGATATTGTGTCCACCTACAACTAAAATATAAATATTTAAAAAAAAAAAGTGTAGGTGGGTTAGATTCTGCCCATCAGTGGCTATGTTCAGGCCAGTAATGGGTTGCACAACGCATGGCTTCTTTTTCAGCATGTTTAAGAATGGCTTCAGGATCCTTTTCAAAATAGGGCTTCTAGTAAGTACTGGAAGTACACTGGAAGTCCAGTGAGACCTGTCGCATTGTGGGAGATTGCTCATAGATGCTGGTGTCGAAGGGTCAAGCAGTCTTCAGTGGGAGACAGGTCTAGGGATCTGTCCATCTTCAGGTTGGGGACATACTTCTGTGAAAGGACCGTAAGTAATGGGGAGCTTCTCTTCCCTTGAGCATGCTTGTGAGGGGATCAGGCTCAGAGAGGGACACTGGCACAGCAGGCGTATGGGGAGCGCTGAGGAGTACCTGAGCCTGGCCAGGCTGGAGCAGTTAGGGGAGCACAGCCAAAGGTTAGAGGAATGAATCTCAGCACTACTGATGGGCAATGGTAGCAGCTTATGTGGAGGACTGGGCTGTCCCAGGACCAGGCATGCAGGGGCGACTGGATAGAGTGCACAGATACCAGAAGTAGCCTGGAGGGAGTTTCCAGAATAGAAGGGGTGGAGGGGTAAAAGGAAAAAAGCAGTGGACAGTGGCCGGGAAGCCAACCTTCTTCCAGGGTGGTTTGGGTCCATGGTGGGGAAAGGAAATTGAAGTGAATTGAGGGGAAGGGGATATGGAGAGGATTCTGTGGTGCAAAGTGTATACTAAGGAGGAGAAAGCTTGTGTTCTTAGGTATGGATGGTTTTAGGGCTGAAGCTACTTATGAAACCGAGATGGAGATTGGGGGAGAGAGAACATGTGCACCCTCTGACGTAAGTCATGTCACACAGAAAGCTTTTAATAGGATACTCAACAAAAAAATGCCATTTAGTGGCTATAGAAAACATTCTTCAATGGTCTGCTTAATGGTATAAAGAGGGAAAAAAAACGTTGAAATAAAGATCGCTGACTTTTTTTTAATATTTATTTTTTAGTTGTAGTTGGACACAATGTCTTTATTTTATGTATTTTTATGTGGTGCTGAGGATTGAACCCAGGGCCTTGCACATGCTAGGCGAGTGTTCTACTTCTGAGCCACAACCCCAGCACCCCTCCCCATTTTATATTTATGTTTTAGTTGTAGTCGGACACAATATCTTTATTTATTTTCATGCGGGATCACTGACCTTTCAATGGAAATTCATCCAGCGTTTTCGTTCTTTCTTTTTTTTTGTACTGGGGATTAAATCAAGGGTGCTCAACAACTGAGCCACATTCCTGGACCTTTTTAAATTTTGTTTTGAGACAGGTCTTGCTAAGTTGCTTTTAGGGCCTTGCTAACTTGGTGAGGTTGACTTTAAACTTGTGATCCCCCACCTTAGCTTCCTGAGTACTGGGATTACAGGCCTGTGTCATCGTGCCCAGCCAGTGTTTTCTTATTTCTAGCATAGGTTGAAGCTAGGACATCAGGAATATGCAGCCTGTTGATGAGGTTTCTTTAACTGGGGAGGTGGACTTATTGGGAGATACACAGGCAGTTTTTCAAAGAGGAGGTCATCATTAGGCTGGGTTGTGGTAATGTCAAAATTTTGTTTAGAGAACATCCAATTCGGGATGCAGATTTTCACTTGAAGATGGAAAAGCACTATAACTGCACCTGTACTTCATTGCATTTGTTGGGAAGCTGATTAGTGTGGGTGTTATGGCTGGAACCTTCTCCTCCTCCTAAATACTCTGATCCTGCTGGAAAGATTCCAGTGAGGAAATTGCTCTAAGGTTTTCATGTCAGTCATTGTTAATGTGCTGTTTGAATGCCTGAGTGTTCTAAATGTAATTCATGGCTTTCCTGAAGATCGCTTCTTTGTTTCTCTTTAGGTTACTGAGTATTTTCTGTTATATGTGTTGGAATACATATAATACAAATTTAAACATTTTTTTTGGGTACCATAAGGGCTATAACACTTTTACTGGGTGTTATATTCCCTTTGTAGTGCCTTTGTTGTTTCTTTTTGTCTTGTTTTCACTTATTTTACACTTCAGAGAATAATATAAATTGGAAAAGTAATAACAAATAGTACAAAATAATCCCATGCTTTTTTTTTTTTTTTGTTGTTGTTAAAGTTCTATTTTCTAAAATACTTTATTTTATTTTGTTTTATAGGGATTTGTCTTGGCAGTTACTATCGCACGGGAAGCAATTGATGAATTTCGGCGTTTTCAGCGAGATAAAGAAGTAAATTCACAACTATATAGCAAGCTTACAGTAAGAGGTTAGCAAGATATTTTTAATCCTATTTAGCATTCCCTAATGTAATCATCATTTTATACTTAAAACATGTCCTGATTCTGGTCTTGAAAATAGTGTTATGTGATATCTGATTTTTTTTTTTTTTTTTTTTTTAATATCTAACTCATGCAGTTTCACGGTGTTTTGTCTTGTTTTATTTTGCAGTTCTGGGGATTGAACCCAGGCTCTTACACATGTTAAGTGAGTGCTTTATCACTGAGCTATATACCCAGCTCCTAGGGTAGATTTTTATTCTAAATGCTTGGATGTATGTATGTGTTTGTTTATATATTTATATATGTATAAATTTATATTTTTATGTATTCACATAATCACATGTTCACATCAACATATCCATATACATATATATTAAAATTATATAATGTGCTCTATTTCAGTTACTTAGATACATGTGAGACTCAACTCATTTATCTAAAATTACCTTTGTATTATGTTGTTGTTATTTTTTTTTTTCCAGTACTGGAGATTAAACCCACTGGGGCTCTACCATTGAGCTACACCCCCAGCCCTTTTTATTTATTTTTATTTTTCGGTGTGTGGGTAGGCAAGGTCTTCCTAATATCCCAGGTTGGCCTTGAATTTGTGGTCCTTCTGCCTTAGCCTCCTGAGTTGTTGGGGTTATAGCAGACCTGTGCTAATGTACCCAGCTTTGTATTATATTTTAAACACAGTCATAAAGATCAGACATCTGTACCATGAAGTTAAACTATACTTCAGTACAAAAGCAATTGAGCATTGGAAATAAATATTACGATCCAGTGTGGTAATGGGTGCATACATGTTGATTCTTTAACCTTCATTTGGGACATTAACCCGTTTTAACTTAAATTTTTAAAGAGCCTGTTTATCTGATTTTTAGTCCGTAGTTGAAAAAGAAGCCATATATTGGGAAGAGAATGAGGGAATCTATTACAAAAAAGTGTTGTGACAGTAGAAGAGTAACCATGATGCATTGGCAATGAGACACTGAAACACAGAAGGAGAATTTATAATAACCCCAAAGTCTGTTGAAAAATGAAATTCATAGTGGATTTTGTAACATTTCTGTATATGTGGACATGTATAATGAATTGCTTACCTGAAATAGTCCCTTAAAAAATTATCAATTTTAAACAGCTCATTGGGCTGTGTTTTAAAATTCATTCAGTTAAGCTGGGTATGATGGTGCATGCCTGTAATCCCAGTGACTTTAGATTAGAGACCTTGAGGCAGAAGAATTACAAGTTTCAGACCAGCTTCATCAATATATCAAAGCCCAAGTAACTTGGTGAGATCTTGTCTCAAATTAAAAAATAAAAAGGACTGGGGATAAAGCTTGGTGGTAAAGTACCCCCCTGGATTTAGTTCCCCGTACCAAAAACAAACAAAACTAAAAGAACATAACCATCCACTTAAAATATATACTTCATTGATTTTTGGTATGTTCAGAGTGTTGTACAGATGTTTCTAAAACATTTGTAACATTTCAGAAAGACACCTGAATACATTAGCAATCATTCTTCATTCTCCTCCTTCCCTGCCCACCCCAGCCCCAGGACCACTATTCTACTTTCAGTGTCTGTGGTTTTTAACCTATTCTGGATATTTCATGTAAGTAGAATTATAAAGTATGTGATTTTTTTGTCACTGACTTCTTTCATTTTACATGTTTTTAGGATTTATCCAGAATGAATCAGTACATAATTTTTTTTTTCTTGACAGGTAACATTCCATTGTTATGATAAACCACTTTTTGCTTTTTTATTCATCAGTGGATAGACATTTGAGGTGTTCTACTTTGTGACTATTGTAAATAACACTAATATGAACATTTGTAGACAAACTTTTGTGTGAACATTATAAAATTTCTCTTGGATATGTTTCTAGGAGTGAAATTGCTAGATTAGATGATAACGATGTTTAGCATTTTGAAGATCTACTGACCTATTTCTAGGTCGATTGTCCCATTTTACATTCCTACCAAATCTGCATGAAGGTTTCAGTTTTATGACATCTTCCTCAACACTTGTGTTACTGTTTTTCCATTTTTCTTTTGAAATTTTTTTTCTAGTTATAGATGGACATAATGCCTTTATTTTATTTATTTTTAAATAAATAATAAATGCTGAGGATGAACCCAGTACCTCACACATGAAATAGGTAAGCATTCCTCCACTAAACTACATTCATAGCCCCTGCTGTTTACCTTTCTTATTGTAGCCATTACTTTTTTGATTGGAGTGGGTGTGAAGGTAATATCTTGTGGGGTTATTGATCTGCATTTCCCTAATGACTAATGATGTCATATACTTTATTGGCTACTTGTGTATCTTTGGTTCAGATCCTTCACCCACTTTTTAAAAATTTTTTTCCACATGGTACTGGGAATTGAACCTGCAGTGTTCTACCTCAGTCCACATCTCCAGCCTTTTTTATTTTTTATTTTGAGACAGAGTCTTGCTAAGTTGCCCAGGTTGGCCTTGAACTTGGGATTCTCCTGCCTCTGCCTTCTGAATAGCTGGGATTACAGTAGTGTGCCACCATACCTGACTTTCTTCACCCAATTTTTAACTGACTATCTTTTGGTTGCTGAGTTGTAAGAATTCTTTGGATTTTCTGAATTAAGTCCCTTGTTTTATGATTTACGATTTCAGATTTTCTCTCCCATTCTCTGGGCTGTATTTTTACTTTATGATAATATCCTCTGATACATAAATGTTTTTAAAATTTTCATGAAGTGCAGTTCATCTCTTTTTTCCATTGTTGCTTATGTTTCTGGAGTTGCATCAAAGAAACAATTGGTCAACCCAACTTCACAATAACTTGTCTTCTTTATGATTTTAATCAATCTTACATTTAGGTCGTTTGTTCATATTCAAATAGTAGTTTTTGTATGCTCTGAGACAGGGGTCCACTTTTTTTTACATGAGTATCAAGTTATTCAGTATAATTTGTTGAAAAGACTTGTTATTTCTCCATTGACTTGAAAAATTATTAAAAAGCTTTAATGCTTGTGATGGTGGCATGGTGGAGAAAATACTAGTTCTAGAAAAGAAGAAAAACTTTAGCTTTAGTTTTTGGAAAAAAGAACCCCAAATGGCCTGGTAAATTAGGTATAATTTGCAGGGTATGTTTGATAACATAATATAGGTCTTAGCTTATTTAAAAATTGTTTTAACTATGGCATTTGGACTTAGCAGAGTTTATTTCTGATATATTAATTGTATAGTTGAGAACTAAGTGGAGTGTCAGTGAGAAGGGCATAGTAGGTAGTACCATTTGCTTGTCCTTCCACAGAACTATTGAATATCAAGCAGAAACCATTAAAACCGTTTTGGTTAGACCTCTGGAAAATACTCAGGTTTATGGCAGCCATGCAATTGCTGAATCCAGGAAAAGGGAACTTAAAAACTGGCATATAGTGTTTTTTCCTTTTTCCTGCAGTTAGTTGCCCTGGACCCAGACCCTCTCCAGTAAGTCTTGAAGGTGACAGTCTACATTTGTTTGCAGAACAGATTTATTTAATAAGAATGATGTATGTCCATCTAGCCAGTCTGTGGATGACTTGAGGCACTGACCCAAGATTTTGTTTAATCCACTTGGAACTCAGTACAGAAAAGCAGAAAACCAGCAGGCATTTCTCAAGTGTTTGGTAGCTTAATGACCAGGCTAATCCTGACACTAGAATGTCAAATGCCAGGTAGAAAAAAACTTGGGAGAGAATGTCTTTGAGAAATTTGGTTATTCAAAAGCACCTGTGCAGGCTGGGGAATTTTTGAGAGTCACATGCAGGTTGAGAACTGGAGGAATGTCAGAAAAGACCTGAGAAGTTCTTTGGTCTTTGGTGGATCTCTGGGTTCAGTATAAGTAGAAGTAAAGGCTACTGCAAAGTTGTAAATGGCCTTAGCCCTTTGCTAGTTCCTGAAGGTGACCTGGAGTGTAGCACCAATCTGCAAACACCGAGAGGTTTTATTTTGTTTCTTCCCTCTCCCCTTCCTCATATTCAAAGAAATGTCTGTCAGAACAAATGCCTGGCTGAATACAAGCTAACGGAAGGGAGACTTAAGAGATTATACTTGACAGAGAATATGCTCCTTACAAAACTTGAAAAACTTAGAAAAACCACTAAACAGCTATAGCGTATAGAAAGCTACAAAACTAACACAGAAGTGGGAGAAAATATCTAAACATCTTATTTCCAGAATTATAGATTGTCCAGTTTTCCACAGAAATTTATGAAGTATGTAAAGGAACATTCACAGAAGAAATTAATAGAGAAAATCTTTGAGGAAGTCGTGAAATTGGACAAGGAATTTAAGTCAGCTGTCTTCAAGTGTGCCCAAGGAACTAAAAGGAGCAATGGGGAAATGCTGAACAGAATAATACATCGAGGGAATGATGTATGGACAAGTAGAGAATATCAGTGAAGGTATAGAAAATTATATAAAGGATGCAAATGAATTCTGGAGCTGACAAGTATAATAAATGGCAAGAAAAACTCACTGAGGGTTTCAGTAGATTTGAGGAAGCTGAAGAATCAAAGACCTTGAATCTGAGTTAGTAGAAATGATTTGTTTTGAAGAACAGAACCAATGAAGAAAAAGGAGCATTCTTCAGAGACCCATGGAATAATGTGAAGTGTGCACCCGTTGTGTCAATGGAAGGAGAGGACAGAGGGAAAGGGAGAGAACAAGGAAGGAAGAGTGGCCAGGCACTTCCTCAGTTTAACCAAAGATATTAATCTGTCTATTCAGGATGTTCAGAGAGCCCCTAGAAGGCTAAACACAAAGAGATCCACTTCCAGATACATACACTGTTGAAACTTGAAAACCAAGAGGATACCTTGAAAGGAGCAAGATAGAAAAGATCAATTACTGTGGTAACCTGGAACATCACAGAGACCTTGTAGGTCCGAAGGGAACAGGGTGCCATGTTTTAAAAATGATGAAGAAAAAATATTGTCAATCAAGAATCTAGTAAAAA